TAATATAATATAATATAATATAATATAATATAATATAATATAATATAATATGATGCAGTGTAGCATAATGCCTCCTGATCCTAGTGGGGCATTCTGAGATCTTGCAATCCTTTGCTTCATTAATGTTCACAACCTTTGGACCTTCAGAACTGTTTTCCCAAATCATGGCCCCTGCTCTGGAGTACACAGCCCTTTCTTTGCCTGTGATCATTTAATAAATAACCTGTCCTCCTTTTCTCACACAACAGTTCCTAAACTCACCTCCCTTTATCCTCAGTATCTTCATGGATGCTTGTTTTTATATTGAGAAAAATATTACCTCCCCATAACACATGGGCTAAATAAAAAGTTAATAAAATTAATTAGCCTCAGCAAATTATATGTTGCTTATTCAAATTCCCTTCATTTTTTTATTATGCTTAATTTTTATCACGACAAAATACCCCAAGAATTCATCACAGAAATGTGCATCTTAATGATATCTGTATAGTCTTGTTATGCAATCACCACAGCCATCCATTTCCAGATGCCTTCATCCTATAATCCCATGTCTGATAATTCCTGGGGTGGAAAGATGGTTCAATGGGTAACGTATTTGCTGTACAAGCATTAAAACCTAAGTTCACATTCCCAGAACCAAAATAAAAATGACAAGTGACCACATGCATTTGTTTGTATTTCTAGCACTGTGGAGAATGGGAGAGACAGGCAGAGAACACGGGGGGCCACAAACCAGTGAGGCTAGCCAAAGTAATGAGGCTAATGGGGAGCCTGACTCAAAATTAAAGTAGAAAAGCCATTGAGGAAAACATCCTAGTATCAACCACTTTTCGGCACACATACACTCCCACATACACCCTCCACACACGCACACCTGAGTACACCCCCACAAAAACTAATGTTCTATGTCTCTCTCTCCCCTTGGCTATCACTATTGTATCTTCTGTATTTATGCCATACCTTTTACTGAGTAGACTGCACAAAAGGTTATTTTTAGTTTTAATGCTTTCATGTTATTGTTTCACTTTAGTTTCACTTCTATCAACCCTTGCCCTCGAGGATGCCTTACAAATATCACCAGATTCCATTTTTATAATAGTCCTATGAAGAATAATTTTAAGACTTGAAAAAGATTCAAAATGTTTTAAGTTGATTGAAAATTGTTAGGGTGCTGTATAGGCAAATTGTAGAACAAAACAGACATTGTTTTATATTATTATTATTATTATTATTATTATTATTATGAGGCATTATCTAGCCCAAGAAAAATATAATAAGCTATATGCCTGACAATCTATTTCTCAGATCTAGCGATGAGTAATGGCCATCACCATGACTTTTCCTAGCAATCCATGGACTTCCTTCTTGTCCATTTCTGTATACTCAATAACACCATTGCCATCACCCCGATCTCCACCCTCACATACTTTTCATTTTACTTATGATAGTTTGATAAGATTTCAATCACTTGCACCCAGATAATGCCTTTCCAAGTATCATATATTAATGAGAGTTATATAATCAGCATAAGAATACACATGAAGAAAAATCTAAATGATGATTATATCCACTCATAAACATTGCAGTTGGGATGTCCGTTTCAAAACCCATATAGAAAGTTGTCTGTCATCACAGTGGTACTAAGAAATAAGACCTTGAAGGCGTAGTTAAATCATGAGGGTTCTGATGTCACAGAGAAATTAAAGTCATGAGTGGGAAGTAGGTTCATTACAGGTGAGTTTGGCATCGAAGGTCCCTGCAATATCCAGAGTATTCCTGTGTCCAGTAGGTCACGGGGGTTTCCTCTGGGTTAACTCTATTCTTAGGATGTATCTGGAAGGCAATGTCAAAACTGCAGGTTTGCACTGGGCCATCTTGGCAGTTCTGGCAAACAACAAGCATCTCCCAGCTCCCTGTACTCCAGCACAGCAGGCACTGACTCTGATTCATCCAAGACCGTCATCTGTTCCAGTCTGAACTGATACAGGCCTAGATAAGGAAAGAGATGAACAAGCATTGCCTTGGTACCATAAGCTTCCCTGTGATGTTCAGAAGTAAAGTCATGTCACTCCAACTCCATGGGCTGATGATGGCAAAGGTAAGAAGTTCTGCTGTGCAAACCAAGCTCCAAATTAAAAGGAAGGGAAAAGACTGTTACAAGAAGGCACAAATTGGAGACTGGAGATTAAAGAAACTAGCGATTATAAGGGTAGGTGAACACTGATAATTAACTGAGTTCCCTTGGACAGAGACATAGCTAGTAACACTTTCAGCATCTTCAACTTACCCCTCCAGAGTAAAGCAATTATAGGATAAGCTAGAACTGTCAGACAATGATGGAAGCTACACCAACAAAGGCATCAAGGTAAATGAGGGTGGAGTTGAGCCTCCCCCTTCGTTCACGGTGCCTAAGCAGCAGTCGGGGTTCAGTGAAGCCAGGTTGTCTGCAGATCTCACTGACTTGTCAGAGTGTATACTTTAATATGGAACGTGCTGAAAGTTCCCATGTGTAATGGAACTTAACTGACTGAGCATCTATTTTGTTCTTTAAGATTTATTTTTAGTTATGCATATGTACACATGAATGCAGGTACATGAATGCTGAGGTTCGTAGAGGTGTTAGGCGCCTCTGGCACTGGAGTTACAGGTGGCTATGAGCTGCCTGATTGGAGTGTTGGTGACTAGACTTGGCTCCTTTGCAAGAGCAATACATGCTCTTAGATGCTGAGCCATTCCTCCTGCCCCTATGAGCCTCTATTATTTTAGAAATGACTTCACCAAGTTAGTTGTTACGTGATTTGCAACTTGTTCATATAGAGTGGCATTCCACATATAACAAAAGAAAGAAGAACTCTCTTTTCACAGTGTGTTCCGCAACATTGCTACTCTTAGAAAATTCGGAAACAGGTTTAGTGATTGGTGGAGGACTCTTTTGTGCAGATGGCTACCACTTCCTTGCAGAGTCCTCAGGAAAGGAGCGGGTGGGTACCAAGACTCAGAATAGACAGATCCCTGAACTCCAATATGGGCTTTAATCCTATTATGAGTACCCCACCTTCATGACCCCATCTATATCTGACCAGCTTCCAAAGTTCCACCCCCAACACCACCACATTGGCACTTAAGGCTTTGACGTGGGGGAGGGGGAACAAATGTCAGTCCATTACCAACAGAGTCACAAGGCACTGCTTCTGCTTCTTTATTCAGTAACCATCTGCAGGATGCTCCCTAAGTACAGCGTTCTACAAGTGCTGGTACCAACTTGTGAGGTAAATACTGCTATTCCCTCTCTTTGACGGATGAAAAACACAAGCCAGCAGAGGCCAGATAATTTCCCAGTGATCATTCAGTGGGTATGTGTTGTAGCTGGACAGTTAGCCCTGAAAACCCTCTGCAGGTATCTCTATAGCTCTGCATCCGGAGAGCATCCAGGCAAAGGGTTCGTCCTTCCACACTGAAGTGCGGAATCAGTGGTGCTCACCTGGGACCTCTAGTCAATGCCAACAACAGCAATGGAAGGAACAGGAAACTGACGTGGAGAACAGGCTGTGGAACGGTTTAAATAAAATGCTACAAACATGTCGATAATTATCTCTCAAGTCTCGTGTGGCACCTGCTGCATCTGAGAAGCCCTTGGATGGTGGGAGCATGAGGTTTGGGAGGTCAATAGATAGTTCAGCCTGGGCTACACCAGGCAACAACAACAACATCAGCAACAATGATAGTCATAAAACTTTCAGAGACTCAATTTTGTAATACAGATATATTTTGGAAAACCACAGTCCTTTGCACTTAAACCAGTGCCTTGTGGCATCCGTGTCCCTCACAACTTTCCTGTGCACTTTCCTTAGTCAAAAAAAGTTATGACCCATCATACAATAGGACAGTGATGGTTCAGGAACTATTCAAGTTTGGGAAGTTCCAGAGCTCAAAAGACAAAGAGGAGATTGCTGTATTGTTCTAAAATAAACACAGAGCTAAACTTGGCAATGATCTTTCTCCTCCTCCCATGTTTCTCTGAGGAAAAACTCAGGCCAAATGTGACTTATTTAACATCACAAAAGTAGCAGGAAAAAGCAAACGTCCTCACACGGAATAAGAGACCATAGGTATATTTTTTAAAGCGTGTGTTCATCTCAGACATGAACGCAATCTGCAAAACTCAAAAGACAGGGGAAGCTGCCATCCACCCAAACCGCTCTAGTCCTAAATGGAGTCCTAAGCAAAGCAGCCCTCACGTGCTCATAACGGGTGTGACCCACCATCCCTGAGAGCTGAGTCCCTGGAATCCCACCGCTCCCCGTGAGCTCGTCACTTCTCCAGCGAAGCACGTCACTCCCTCCCCTTTGGGACTTTGGGACAAAAAGCAAAAATCCCAGAGTCCAATCCTTGGGAGTGAAGCAAGGGGCGGAGCGACGCCCTTTCCGGTTGTGGGGAAACACCCGGAGCTCCGGGAATTTCCCTGGCCCGGGACGCGGGCTTTTCCAGGCACCATGCATAAAAGAGGCTCGCGGGGCTCCAGAACCCCAGACTGAGCTTCAGAGCCTCCAGCCAGCTACTGCACTCCAGACTCCAGCCACACTCCTGCTTAACGCCATGGCCCCAGCTACCCGCCCACTGCTCCGTGCCTCTCTGCTGTTGCTGCTACTGCTACTGGCCGCCAGGCACCAGGTCACAGGTAGGACCCGCCACTGCTGTCCCTGGAGGAGCCTCCGCTGGGCTCAGCCGCTGATAGTTCGCTGACACAGTGTCTTCTCCCACAGGGGCACCCGTCGCCAACGAGCTGCGCTGTCAGTGCCTGCAGACCGTTGCGGGAGTTCACCTAAAGAATATCCAGAGCTTGAAGGTGACGCCCCCAGGACCCCACTGCACCCAGACCGAAGTCATGTGAGTGTCTATCAGCGCAGCTTCTGCCACTTCCAGAGTCGCCCAAACGCTCCTGTTGCCCCCATATCCATAGACTTCCAGCCTCACGTGGGTCCATCCTTCTCTCTGCAGAGCCACTCTCAAGGATGGTCGCGAAGTTTGCCTTAACCCTGAAGCCCCCATGGTTCAGAAGATCGTCCAAAAGATGCTAAAGACGTGAGTTGTGACTTGTGTTTGTACTTGTGAGGGAGGCATGGGTCGGAGTACTGGCAGCTCGCTGCGGAGCGTTAATTACATCAGGGAAAGTCTGTGTTGACCAGAAGATCAGAAAGTTGTGGTTATTACTTTCATAGCTCAGCTTAACGTGAGATCATTAATTGGCTTTGACACTAGAGAACCCTGTCCGCTCGACTGTCACCACACTCAAAACCCCCATGCAAATGGATGGTGGCTTGTGTGTGTTCCTATAAGATGAAGGGGCCCGTGGCTCTATGAAATCTTTTAAGGGCCTGGGAAACGGGATCCTTGGCAAAGTGTGCCCCCGAGCCTTCTCGAGGAAGAAGGGAGCTTTTGGCGGTGTCACTTCCCTGCGTGCAAGGCTAAATTCTTCCTGTGCAGGTTACATAATTTATGGAATTTTAGCCAAGTAGGAGAGCTAATAGCAACTACTTCACAGGGTTGCCTGTCTGAGTAAAGTCACACTTGTAAATTAAACTGTGGCGATGTCATTGGCTTTTTTTTCAAGTCACGTGGTTGACGCCACAAGAATCCAAGTTTTAGCTGTACAGAGCTCTGGGTGGAGGGGTAGACATGTAGAAATCTCACCTAGAGCCTCCGGGGACTGGGGGGAGAGAACAGTGCTTTTGATGACTGCTTGTAACACTGACTCTTTTCCCACTGCAGGGGCATCCGCAAGTGACCGAGAGAGGAGGAAGATTGCCATGGTGGTGCCTGTGAACGCCGGCTTCTGACAGCACTGGCTTAACACACTCTATGGTTTCTTAAGAGAGTCCCATTTATTTATGTATTTATTTATTTCACAAAGCTCATGTATTTTTATTTGACATTAATATTTAACGATGTGGATGTGTTTTATCAATGGTTGTTCAGTTTGAAGATGCTAGATTTAAAATATCTTATTAAGGCCGGGTGGTGGTGGTGCAGGCCTTTAATCCCAGCACCTGGGAGGCAGAGACAGGTGGATGTCTGTGAGTTTGAGGCCAGCCTGGTCTACAAGCGCTAGTTCCAGGACAGGCACCAAAGCTACACAGAGAAACCTTGTCTTGAAAAACCAAAAAAGAAATATATATATATTAAACTAATATTTAATATTTATTGGGAGACCATCAAGTGTCAACCACTGTGATAGAAGGGTGTGGGTTAGGAAGGAAAAGCAGAGAGAAATACATGTTTTGTATTAGAGTGAAGGTATGTGTGTGGATCTATGTTTGAATGTCTTGAAAAGAATGTCAGTTATTTATTGAAAGTTGTCTTTCATATTAATAGTCAACATGAATGTGTTGATGTTTCCCTTGGACATTTTGTGTCTAGTCTGTAGGGCATAATGCCCTGTTATATTCTGTAACTAGTGTTTTTCTTTGTCTTGGGACAGAGAAGTTCAAAGAACTCTTACAACTGAAATAAAAATAAAAGTTTAAACAAAAGATAACACTGGTGCTTTTTGTTTTGTTCTTTTTAACACCCCTGGTTTCTATTTAATCCTGCACCTGTCTGTGCTGGCTGGCATTTCTCGTGACTCTTGCCCACTAGAGAAGAAGAATTGATACTCCTGGAAGGCACGTTCCACCCTCCCCAACCTCCTTGATAATTCTATATAAAACATTGCCATTTTCCACACTGACCAATTTTCTATTCAAAAGGAGTTCCTTTATTTAAACATTTTTTGTCCTTTATTTTGAGAGAGGGATCATGCTATGCTGCCCAGGCTGGCTTTGAACTTGCAGTCTTCCTAAGGGAATTAGGATATCTAGGCAATTCTGAAAATATGCAAAATTTAGATCTTAAAAAACATGAAAGGAAGATAAAATAGAATAAAAGAAATTACTTCAATCATGCATGTAAAAACCTAAAGAAATAACATAAAAGGTGCCTCAGGAGACAGAAAGATTCCCAAAGGTCAGGCTTAGTTCCTCAGCGCATGGGACTCTGAGTTGGAGTTGGTGGTTTGCTTTCATAGTAGACATAAGAAAAGCAGTGCATTGGAGAAAGTGTCCAAGCTCCAAGCCCTGCCGTATGATCAACACGACTATCACTACAAGACTTCAGAATGGTTCTGGTCCTGGCCCTGGTAGAAGGTGACAGGAAAGGAAAGGGCATGTTTGTACTCTTCTACATAATCAATCTCACAGTATGCAGGGAGCAGCAAACAAATTAAAAATTGGAGGGATAGTCCTCAAAATACCCAACAAAAACTCTTCAAAATTGTTCAGGTGACGGCAAACAAGGCTCTATCATTAGCTTACACAGATCAGAGGAGACAGAAGAGAGACGAGAGCCAAATACAATGTGTGTGGTGGACAATGTGTGTGTCTGGAATAGAAAGGAAAAAAAGACATAACTGGAATACCGGTGAAATTTGAATAAAGACCTGAGTTTAGTGAACAATGCACCAGGATGAGTCTCTTGCGTTTGATAAATAAATCCACTATAACAATGCAGTACGTCAATAATAGGAGACACAAAACAGAATTTCAGCAAGGGAACTCTCTCACCCACAACAATATTTTCTAATTCTAAAATGATTCTAAATTTAAAATCTCAGCTTGATTTTGGAGATTGTACAGTAAATAAAATAATCATGTAATAGACTTTAAGGCAACTCTAATAAAATTACAACAGACTTAACTGGAATTGATACTGTAATTAAAAGTCAAAAATTATTTGGCTGTGTAAATAAGATGAATAGTGCTCCTTAAAGATTTACCTTAAATATTTGACTCTAGATAGCTTGAAATTAAGAAAATTAAAAAAATATGTCCCATCACACAAAAACTATTTGAAAGGAATCCAACATATATCATCAGTTACTAATAATGCAGTAACTATTGTGTTGTTGATACATTTATGAAGAACTGATCTATTAATGAATGAAAATACAGAAATAAGTAGTCATGGGAGATTCAAATCTCATTCGAAATATAAAGGAGGCAATTGTAGAAGAGACAATGTAATTTCAAAATTTTACAAATAACACTAAAATACATAAAGCAATTTGGAGAGACTCACGAAGAGTAGCAGACAAATCAGAATTCATAGCTAAAGATTCTTTTGGCCTGGTATGATGTTGGCACACACCCGTAATTCTCTGTGTTTGGAGGGTCTGCAGTTCAAGACTTGCGTCAGTTGCATGATGACTTAGAAACCACCACAGGCTACAGGAGATCTTGTCTTAAAACAACAACAAGAAGAAGAAGTCTTAGAGATAGGGTGTCACTATACAGCTAATGCTGGTCTTGACTAAATAATCCATCTACCTCTGCCCCTTAAATTCTGGGATTACAGGAACTGCTGCCATGTTGGTTTCCCATAGATAAAGATCCTAACAGACTTTCTCAATGATTAATAGGGAAGGAAGTGAAATATTGATAATAGTATGGGGTGTGGGAGCCCACAGAAGTGGGTCCGTTCCACCTCGACTAAAGGTCAGAGACTTCAGGCCTATTTTTGGGCCCGTTCCACCTTGACTAAAGGTCCAAAAGTTCAGGCCTATTCTTCTCCTTCAAGGTTATTGACCAGAGGTTTGACTTAGGGTGTGGCTACTAACAGGATATCTTGACCCAGGGTGTGGGTACTTGGTAATTTTGGGTATTCAGATGGCCTACAGATGTGGGTCTTTCCCACCTTGACCAAAGGTCAGAGCATTCAGGACTATTCCTGCTCCTTCAAGGATAGGGATAGAACAGGAGGCTCAACCCAGGGAGTGGCTGCCCACAGGATGCTTGGCCTAAGGTGTGATTGCTGTGTGTCCTGCCTAAACAACAGAATACTTAACTCAGGGTATATTTGCTTGAGGCTTCCGGTATTGAAGAGGTAGTTGCTCTGTTTGTTCTTTGTATCATGTTAAAGTAATCTTATGCCTTCTTCCCCTGCTTTTTGGATTGGGGTATATAAGCATATGGAAAAGAAATGTGGGCAAATTAGCAAATTTACTGGATTACTCTCCTGACCCTATCCTGTGTCTCTGTATTGCTTTTGTATATCTGTTCTTTCTGCCTAATGTTTCTAATCCATATGCTCCTACCCTGGAGCATGCGAGCCCCATCAAGGTGAACCCTGACAATGGAAGAGTTCAAAACATAACTGAATTGACTTGACTGACATCACTAGGTAGATTCTTCTGCAACTCTATAAATCATGGCCGTTTTTAGGTTGTTTTATTTACAGTACACAGAAAACTTCTGCTACAAGAGTGTATCACACATGGAAAATGCTGAAACGCTAGAGAACACACCCTGATCATCACTTTTATGATGATCTTGCTTTCCTAGTTGAAATAGATATGACCATACACTGTGCATGTCTGTGGTTAGTAACTCACCCCTCAGCTTCCTAATTTTGCTTTCACAATGCCAGAGTCATCTTGCTTTCCATATGTAGCATAAACATCTCTTATGATAAAACTATTACTGTGGAAATAGTTCCTCATTCCTTATGTTTATTTCAGACATAGTTTGTAAATTTTGGAGTTCCCTTATTTCTTAGGTTGGATTTCACGAATATAATGCAATTTAACTATGTGATATTATTACCACAAAGGGTTTTACAATTTTTTAAGCAAACGGAAACACAAAGTTTTGCATTAAGAGCCATTTGTGTTGGGCAATGGTGATGCACACCTCTGATTCCAGCACCCCGGAAGCAGAGTCAGTGAGATCTCTGTAAGTTTGAGGCCAGCCTGGTCTGTAGAGTGCATTCCAGGACAGTCAGGGCTATACAGAGAAACTCTGTCTTAAAAGACAAATTTTTTTTTTTTAAAAAAGTCACTTGTAACTTAGATTAGTTATTGTTTAGCACTAATTAAAATGAATTTAAATATTTAAAAATTATTGAAAGAATAAAAATAGTTTTACTACAAGAATAAAGAAAGACTAGCTGTATGTGAGGGGATGGAAGTGTCTTCCAAATGAAAGAATTCTTTTTCTGATCTGCTTTATTTACCTTTTAAAATATGTCACTACCTCTGATATGTTATAAACATCCAGTAAATATCTTTTGATTTTAATATTTATCATCATTTTCTCATCATCATCGTTTTAATTTGAACCCAAAAATTCCCCAGACTTCCCACTCTCCTTAGGGTAGACAGTGGATAAATCTCACAGCATGACATACACACATGGGCCATGGAAACAGCTTTAGAAGAAAGTAGTAGCTTCCCAGTGGAACTAACATCCAAGCAAATTGGCTATAAGTGCTCCAACAGACCAAAGAAAAGGATTGTGGGGACCCACAGATGTGAATCCTGTTCTGTCTTGACTAAAGGCCAGAGAGTTTGAGCTCATTTGAACTCTTTCAAAGTTATTGACAACAGATGTGTCTACAAACAAGATGTCCAGACCTAGGGTGTAGCTACTTGGTGTTTTGGACATTAAGATGGTCCACAGAGGTGGATCTGCTCCACCCTGACCAAAGGGCAGAGAATTCAAATCTTCTCTTTCATTTTAAAATAGGAGGTTTGACAAAGGCAGTGGCTGCCTACAGGATACTTTGTCTAGGGTATATTCATGGCATCACCTGCCCAAAACATCAAAATGCTTAACTCAGGAAATAATGGCTTGATGTCTCAAGTATTTATGCAAATAACTATTCTGGTTGTTCTTTGTGTCACGTAAAAGCAAGCGTTTGCCTTCTCCCCACCACCACTTTTTCCTACTGGGGTATATAAGCGTATGGAAGATAAACGCGGGTGGATTCAGTATTCAGTATTCACTGAGTTACCCTCCCGGTACTATCTTGTGTCTCTGTGTTTCTTTCATATCTCTGTTCCCCTACCTAACATTTGTAATCCACACACCCCTGCCCTGGAACGTACGAACCTATTGTGGCTGGAACGCGACAAATGTCACCCCAACGTGTGGCTTACGACAAAGGATGAACTGTGTCGTGGCAACGACAGAGAATATTTGCAGCTCTCGGTGAGCAGCTCTGATGGATTCAGGCAGCACATTCTCTAGAGCAATTTGTTGTCTTGTC